GCGCCCCAGGGGCCCCCTGGAGAGCTCACAGAGCCCCTAGAAAAGTGGGTACTGGAGTGGTAGCTCTCGGGGGCCCCATGGGGCCCCTCCCTCTGCAGTCTTGGGGACAAAAGGGTCCTGGGGGGCCCCACAGAAGAGGCCCTGCTGTACCCTCTTTGCTGCCTACTCAGGGGGGCCCCCCCTTCGGCCTCCTGCACAGTGCCTAGGAAGGCCGACGAGGCTTGTCTGCTGAGCAGGGGGGCCCCCCACCCCACTCAGGGGGCCCCCTGCGGTAAGAAACCTCTGGGGAAACTGCCTGGGGAGATGGGATCGTTCTCGATCCCAGTCTTTGGATTCTGCTGAGGAGTTGCTGCGCAGGGTCTCCCTCGGGGGGCCCCCTTCTTTGGGGGCCCCCTGCAGCAGCAGGCGGGACGGGGGGCCCCCCCCGGGGCCCCTCCCCCGCTGCTGCTGCTGCTGCTGCTGCTGCTGCAGCAGAGTGCCTCCGGGGCCCCTCGTACCCTCTGCTCTCTGTGGAGGGGGGCCCCTCGGAGGGTTCGGAGCTCTCTGGGGACCCCAGGGGGGCCCCCCGGGGGCCCCACTGGGGGCCCCCCGCAGCGCGCTGGGGGGCCCCCAAGGGGGCCCCCCCCGGCTGGTCATAGAGGAGGTGGGGCCCCTCGTCGCTGCGGGAAGGCCGCGGCCTGGGGGGCCCCCCGGGGGCCCCCCTGGGGGCCCCCTCCGAGGGGCCTGCACCGGGGGGGCCCCCCGGGGGCCCCCAGTCAAGACCCTGTCTCCTAAGCAAAGACCCTCTCCGGCTAAACCCTAAACCCTCGTCAGATCTGCTATAAGTCAAGGGGGGCCCCCAGTGCCCCCAGCTCGAGTAAGGAAGCTCTTCGGGGGGCCCCCCTGAGGCCCTTCTGCGTTCCCGGGGGCCCATTCTCTTATTAAGGAGGCCCCCCTGGAAGCAGCAGCAAAATGAGTTTCTTCTCTGTCTCTTTCTCTTTCTCCTTTTTGTTTTAATTCGCTGACTCTGCGAGCTGCTTCTTCCTTAGGAGGGCCCCGGGGGGCCCCCCTGGGAGGGGCCCCGGGGGGCCCCCGGGGGGCCCCCCGGGGGGCCCCCTTCGGGGGCTTCTTGGGGGCCCCCCTAGGGGCCTCCTGGGGGGGCCCCCCTGGGGGGCCCCCCGGAGTAGCCCCAGAGGTACCTGGGAGCCACCCAGATATAATTCGGGTCCAAATGGGGAGGCTCTCGGGGGCCTCCTCTGCTGCTGGGGGCCCCCCGGGGGGCCCCCCTGGGGGGCCCCCCTGGGGGCCCCCCGGGGGCCCCTCGTCTGCATCTTCTTCCGAATAAACCCACGGGGGGGCCCCCCTGGGGGGCCCCCTGGGGGGCCCCCTGGGGGCCCTTTGGGGTTCTCTGCGGCCTATGATGGCTTTGGCCCTGCAGCAGCCACCAGGTGTACATACACCTCAAAGTCTTTTGCTTTCTTTTCAGTTTTGCAAACAGCAGCAAAAAAAACGCGAGGGATCCTTAACACCTAGGGCTTAGGGTTTAGGGTTTAGGGTTTAGGGTTTAGGGTTTAGGGTTTAGGGTTTAGGGCTTACTGGTGCTCCACAGGGGCCCCGCTGTACTTCTGGTGTAAAGTCCGGGGGGTCAGCTCGGGCTGCTTGAGGGGGTCAGCGAGGCCTGCAGCCACCCCAAACCCTAAACCCTAAACCCTAAACCCTAAACCCTAAACCCTAAACCCTAAACCCTAAACCCTAAACCCTAAACCCTAAACCCTAAACCCTAAACCCTAAACCCTAAACCCTAAACCCTAAACCCTAAATACAAACCCTAAACCCTAAACCCTAAACCCTAAACCCTAAACCCTAAACCCTAAACCCTAAACCCTAAACCCCTAAACCCTAAACCCTAAACCCTAAACCCTAAACCCTAAACCCTAAACCCTAAACCCTAAACCCTAAAGCTGGCCGCGCTGCTCTGAAGTCAGCGTCAAAGGCTGAACCCAAACCCTACGGGCGCCGAGGCTCAGTTGCCCACCAAACCCTAAACTCTAAACCCTAAACCCTAAACCCTAAACCCTAAGCCCTAAACCCTAAACCCTAAACCCTAAACCCTAACCGTCTTGAATCCAGTCTCCGTAGCGGCAAACCCCTCGGAGCCTTTTGGCCTCATCAGCGTAAACATCTCTTTGGAAGTGCAGCGCGTCCAGTTCTGTCTGCAGCAAGCTGCAGCAAATAAAAAATAAATAAATAAATAAATAAATAAATAAATAAATAAATAAATAAATAAATAAATAAATAATAAATAAAAATAATAAATAAATAATAAATAAATAATAATGATGGTATGAAAGGGAGTGGGGGGGAAAAAGAAACTCGAGGAGAGGCGGAAGCGGGCGCTTCGCGCGCTAAACCCTAAACCCTAAACCCTAAACCCTAAACCCTAAACCCTAAACCCTAAACCCTAAACCCTAATTACTAGATGATCTTTTTGAGGTCCTTGACTTGGCCCATGAGTTTTGACTCCGCGAAGCCTGAGGGCACCGCACGACTCCAGCAGCGGCTAAATTAGGGTTTGGTGGCCGCGGCCTAGGGTTTAGGGTTTAGGGTTAAGGGTTTAGGGTTTAGGGTTTAGGGTTTAGGGCTTGGTCACCCTGGGCCTCGAGAACCATCGCGTCGTAGCCGAGAGAAAGCTCGTCGAGCTGCCGCTGCAGCATCTTCTCCGTTTTCTGCAGCAGCAGCAGCAGCAGCAGCAGCAGCAGCAGCAGCAGCAGCAGCAGCAGCAGCAGCAGGAAGAAATGAACAAAAGGAAAAAGAAAAAAAGAATTGTTTTTAACTCACTTGAATTCTCCTGCAGTCTTCTTGAAACTCCAACAGCCGCAAATCTAAACCCTTTTTCAGCAGCAGCAAATCTTCGCTGAGGGGCCCCTGAGGGTTTAGGGGGGCCCCCAGCAGCGCAGCAAGTTGTTCTTGGTCTGCCTGACGCCACAAACCCTAAACCCTAAACCCTAAACCCTAAACCCTAAACCCTAAACCCTAGAGCCTCTGCTGTGCGCATGTAAACACTGTCCTCACACGCTGCGCCCCGAAGTCGCAGACACGCCTCAGCACACTCTACGGCTTCCCGCCGAGGGTTTAGGGTTTAGGGTTTAGGGTTTAGGGGCTAGGGTTTAGCGGCTAGGGTTTAGGGTTTAGGGTTTACGAGGAGCATTGTGTGCGCCGCGTTGAGCTCAACGAGCTGCTGCTGATACTGCAGCAAAAAGAAACAGACAGCAGCACAGCAGCAGTTTAAGAGAGCTTCAAGTTTAGGGTTTAGGGTTTAGGGTTTAGAGTTTAGGGTTTAGGGTTTAGGGTTTTTAAGGGCATTTAACAGCAGCTGCAGCCCAGGGCCAGAAAAAAGAATAAAAAGAACACAAGAAAAAAAAGAGCGACAGAGGAAGCCGGCGAACGAAACACAGACCCTAAACCCTAAACCCTAATCCCTAAACCCTAAACCCTAAACCCTAAACCCTAAACCCAGAACCTCTGCTCTTTCAAAACAAAAGAGCAATTAAAACCCACCAAATCCATTAACGCCGAAACCCTCGCGTTTACTTCCACCAGCTGGGGGGCCCCCAAATCGTTGGGGGCCCCCAGGGGGCCCCCGGGGGCCCCGAAAGGCCCAGGGGGCCCCAGGGGGGCCCCCGTAGGGGCCCCCGGGGGCCCCAAGGGGGGCCCCCCTGCAGCCCCGGGGGGCCCCAAGGGGGCCCCCGTAGGGGCCCCAAGGGGCCCTGATGGGCCTGGGAAAAGAGTCGGAGGGTACTGAACTAAAGAGCGGAGATCATAGGGGGGCCCCCAAGGGGGCCCCCAAGGAGGGCCCCCCAGGGGCCCCCAGCCAGGGGAGGCAGCAGGCTGGAAGGGAGCAGCAGCAGCAGCAGCAGCAGGAGCAGCAGGAGCAGCAGCTGCTGCTGGTGTGTAGGGGGAACTGGGCCAGTTGGGCGTGGCTGGCGCTGCTGCTGCTGCTGCTGCTGCGTCTGCTGAGGGGGGAGGCCGGAGGCTCATGGGTGGAAAGCTGAGATTTAGGGTTTAGGGTTTAGGGTTTAGGGTTTAGGGTTTGCGGGGGCGCGGCGGGGGGCAGAGTGCTGCGTAAAGAGCCCGCGAGAGAGCAGCAGCAGCGCCGAGGTGTACGTACACCCGAGGCGAGCCAGCGGCGGCGGCAGCAGTCAGCGCTAAAGGCTCTCGGCACTTTTGAAGCAAAAGAGGAAGCAAAAAAGACAAATAAAGATAAATATAAACAAGAAAAACCTTTTTTATTTCGTGTTTGAAAAGAAAAAAGAAAAAACGCGGCCGCGGAGTGCAGCAGTCTCGATGCGCGCTCTCTTGCTGCTGCGCTGCTGCTGCTGCTGCTGCGGCGCTGCTGCTGCTGCTGCTGCCCTCAGCGCTTTATAAGGAAATGAAATAAAGACAAAAAACTCATATTTAAATCTAATTTTGTTTTTCTAAGTCAAACTGCAAAGAGAAAAGGAACTTCGCCGCGGCCCCCCCAGCGGTCCGCAGTGGACCACGGCAGCAGCAGCAGCTGCTGCAGCAGCAGCAGCAGCAGCTGCTGCTGCTGCTGCTGCTGCTCTGAGCCAACGAGCTGCATTTGCATGCACGTTTCTGCAACACAGGAACTTGGGGCCTTTCGCTGCAGCCGCACAGCAACAGACACTTCTACAGCAGCAGCAGCAGCAGCAGCAGCAGCAGCAGCAGCAGCAACAGCAGCAGCAGCAGCAGCAGCGTTGCTGCTGGTCCACCTCAAGGTTTCGCAGACTTCAGGGGCCCCCGACTCTTGGGGGCCCCCAAAGGCAGCAGCAAACAGTCCACTGTGAAGCAAAGAGCGGGGGCCCCCCTAAGTACAACCCAGGGGGCCCCCCTCTTACCCCGCAGCTGCTGGGGGCCCCCAAGGGCCTCGGGGCCCCCTGGGGCCCCCGGGGGCCCCCCGGGGCCCCAGGGCCCCGCAGAGTACCCCAGGGGGCCCCCCGGGGCCCCGGAGGGGCCCCCGGGGGGCCCCCCTTGGTACTCGAAGGGGGCCCCCAGGCCTGCAGGGTACTGCCGGGGGCCCCCAGGGGCCCCCCGGGGGCCCCCCGGGGCCCCCGAGGGGCCCCCCGGGGCCCCCGGGGGGCCCCCGGGGGCCCCTTTGGTTGGTTTTATTTTGGTTTGTTTGGTAATTAATTTGGTGAAGTTGAAAGCCTAAATAAAAGAAGAAACAAAAAAATGAAAGAATAAAAATAAATGATTTATTTTATTTTTATTTTGATTTAATTATTGAATTCTTCTTTTGTCCTTTTGTTTTTCATTTAATTGAAAAAGAAAAAATAAAAAAAGATCTAAATGAAACAAAAAGAAACAAAAAGAGATAAAAGAAAAAGAAAAGAAATTAAAAAGAAACTAAAAAGAAATTAAAAAGAAATTTAAAAAAATTAAAAAGAAATTAAAAAGAAATTAAAAAGAAATTAATGAAATCGGCAAAAACAAAAGGTCTTTTAAATAAATTAAAATTCTTTTTTGATTTCTTTTTCATTATTTTGTAAAAAAGAAAAAAAGAATTTAAATTTATTTCAAAGACTTTTAGTTTTAAATTAAAATTATTTTTTAATTTCTTTTTTACTATTTCGTCTTCCAGACGAGAAGGTTTGCAAAAAGAAGAAAGATTATCGAATGCCTGCAAGCAGCAGCAGCAGCAGCAGCAGCAGCAGCAGCAGCAGCAGCAGCAGCAGAAGCAGCAGCAGCAGCAGCAGCAGAAGCAGCAGCGCACTTGTTAGAAGTAGCAGCGGCAGCGTGCTTGCAGCAGCAGCAGCGGCAACGGTAAGGCTTGCAACAGCAGCTGTAGCAGCAGCAGCAGCAGTGTTTGCACCAGCAGCGATGCCTGCAGCAGCAGCAGCAGCAGCAGCAGCAGCAGCAATATTTGCAGCAGCAGCGATGCCTGCAGCAGCAGCAGCAGCAGCAGCAAGTTGCTGTTTGTTGTACCTGCATGTCCAGATAGCGCAGAGCCTGCAGCGGAATTTCCCGTAGCAGCTTTTCCATGTCTGCTGCTGCTCTTGCTGCAGCAGCAGTGTGTCTTCCTGCTGCTGCTGCTGCTGCTGCTGCTGCAGCAAGCACAGCAGCAACTGCCTGCCGCCCTGCTGAGCTGTGACCCTTTGGGGGCCCCTGGGGGCCCCCTGCTGCTGCTGGGGGGCCCCCAAGCAGCTGCGCAGCAGCAGCAAGGGCGCAAACAGCAGCAGACAAGCGTCGTGACTCCTGCTGCAGTGCTGCTGCTGCTGCAGTTGCTGCGGGTGCTGCGGGTGCTGCTGCTGCTGTTGCTGCGGGTGCTGCAGCTGCTGCTGCTGCTGTTACTGCGGGTGCTGCAGCTGCTGCTGCTGCAGTTGCTGCGGGTGCTGCAGCTGCTGCTGCTGCAGTTGTTGCGGGTGCTGCAGCTGCTGCTGCTGCAGTTGCTGCGGGTGCTGCAGCTGCTTCTGCAGCTGCTGCGGGTGCTGCAGCTGCTGATGCTGCTGCTGCTGCTGCTGCAGCAAAAAAGCTGAAAGGGAAAACACCCAGCATTATAGAGAAGGCGGAGAGAGCCGTTGCTGCGTCTGCAGCTACGGCTGCTGCTTCTTGCTGCAGTGCCTCTCTGCTGCTGCTGCTGCTGCTGCTGCTGCTGGCTGCAGCTGCAGCCCGCAGGCGAGCAGCAGCAGCAGCAAACTGCTGCTCAAGGGCTGGCTGCTGCTGCAGCCAAACTGCTGCCAGCAAATGGCGCTGCTGCAGCTTCGCGAGGCCCTGCAAGATGCAGCAAATGTCTCTGCGGCGGCTTGCTGCTGCTGCTGCAGCAGGAGCAACTGCTGCTGCTGCTGCTGCTGCTGCTGCTGCTGAGGCTGAGGCCGTTGTTGTTGCTGGTGCGTTTGTTGCTGCTGCCGCTCTCTCTGCTGCGGTTGTTGCTTCAGCTGCTGCTGCTGCACCTGTTGCTGCTGCGCCTGCTAACGCTGCAGCTGTCTCAGCAGCAGCAGCAGCTGGTGCTGCTGCTGCACTTGCTTCTGCTGCAGCGCCTGCTGCTGCCCTTTCTGGGAGAAGAATAGGGCCCCGCTGCTGCAGCAGCAGCTGCTGCTGCACTACGGCGCATGCGCTGCTAGGCAGCAGCAGCAGCAGCTTGCTGCTGGCCTGCAGCAGCAAAGCCACGTCCCTCAGTGTCAGGCGGCCCCCCTCTTCAGCAGCAGCAGCAGCAGCAGCAGCAGGAAAGGCAGCAGCAGCAGCAGCAGGAAAGGCAGCAGCAAAGCGGCACTCCGCGGCATCTGCTGCTGCTGCAAGCACCGTCAGGCGTCTGACAAGAGCAGCAGCAACTGTAGCCGCAGCACTTGGAGCAGCAGCAGCAGCAGAAGCAGCAGCAGCAGCAGCAGCAGCAGCAGATGGGGCCTGTGCTGCTCCCTGGGAAATATCTGCTAGGCATTTGCTGCGGGGCAGTAGCCGGCTTAAGCCGTGAGCAGCTTTTGCCAGCTGTGAGGGCCCACCTGCTGCTGCTGCTGCTGCTGCTGCTGCTGTTGCTGCTGCTGCTGCTGCCTCTTCAGGGCCCTCCAGCAGCAAATGCTTTGAGAGCTGCTGCAGCAAAACCAAAGTCAGGGACCGTTTAGCTTCCCGCCAATTTTCCGGTTGTTGCTCTTGTTGCTGTTGCTGCTGTTGCTGCTGTTGCTGCTGTTGCTGCTGCTGCAGCTGCTGCTGCAGCTGCTGCTGCTGCAGCTGCTGCTGCTGCAGCTGCTGCTGCTGCAGCTGCTGCTGCTGCAGCTGCTGCTGCTGCTGCTGCGAAATAAAGACAACAGGGGCACCTGCAGAAAGAGTGTGGGGCGTTCCCTGCCACCATGTGCAGCAGCAGATGCTGCTGTTGGAGTTAATGCTGCTGCTGCTGTCGCTCGTGCTGCCTTCCCTGCTGCTGCTGCTGCTGCTGCTGCTGCTGCTGCAGCTGCAGCCATCTACTGCAGGGAGGACCCACGCAAGGCGAAGGAGGGCCCCCAATGGCAGCAGATGAGCTGACGCTGCAGCGGCCCTCAGCAGGCTGGCAACACAAACCCTCAGCTGCTGCTGCTGCTGCTGCTGCTGCTGCTGCTGCTGCTGCTGCTGCTGCTGCTGCCGCAAGAGGTAGGGGGGCATGGGGCCCCCCTCACCCGCTTGGGGCCCCCCGGGGGGCCCCCACTTGCTGCCATTTTGCCTGCGGGCGGCCTCACTGAGGAGGGCCAGCAGCAAAAAGGCATTGAGCTGGGAGGGGCCCCCAAGGGGGGGCCCCCAGGGGGCCTCCCGGGGGGCCCCCTTGGCGGGTTTGGGGGCCCCCCCGGCCCCCTTTTGGGGGCCCCCTGCCAAGCCTGGGGCCCCTATGCAGGGGCCCTGGGGGGCCCCCCGGGGGCCCCCTAGGAACAGCGAGAAGGGGGGCCCCCTAGGGGCCCCCCTGAAGGGTCTTAGGGCCATAAGGGCCCAAGGGGCCCCCTAGCCAGCGCGGAGTACCCAGGGGGGCCCCCAGCAGCAAATGGGGGCGCAGCAGCAGCTGCTGCGCCAGGGGGCCCCCTGGGGGCCCCTCAAGCTGCTGCGTGGCCCAGCAGCAGCAAAAAAAAGGGTACGGGGCCCCCAACTCGGGGCCCTTTGGGGTCTAGGGGGGCCCCCCGGGGCCCCCAAGAGCCCCAAAAGCAGATTCTAATTGGGTCTAAAGCCCCCAGACAAAAGTTAAATCAAAAATATAAAATTAAAACCCAAAATATTGCTTGTAAATAGCTTTCTATCTGGGGGGCCCCTAGATCGCTCCGGGGGGCCCCTGGGGGCCCCCGGGGGCCCCCCAAGGCCTCCAGGGGGCCCCCGGGGGCCCCGGGGGCCCCCAGGACCTCATCGAGAGGCCTGGGGGGCCCCTTTCCCTTCTTCAGCCCCTGTTGGAGCCCTAGAAGTCCCAAAAAGGAATTAAAAGGAATAAAAATAAAATAAAAATTGCGTTTTTTTCCTTTTTGGCGCGCAGTGGTGTATGTACACCTCGCGGTGTATGCCGAGCCAGGGGGGCCTCCGGGCCGCCTGGGGGCTCCTTTTTGTCTTTTTGATTTCATTTAATGTTTTATTTTCTTTTTTTATTATTTAATTTATAAATTTTAATTTAATTTCATTTCAAAGAGCCCTAATAGTCCACCCAGATGCAGCCACTCTTGCAACCCCCCTACAGAACCCGCTGGGGGGGCCCGGGGCCCCCCACTGGCAGGGTCCAGGGGGCCCCCAGGGGGGCCCCCAGAGGAATGCCCAGGGGGCCCCCTGGGGGGGCCCCCAGGGGGGCCCCTATGAGGGCCCCAAGGGGGGCCCCTGGGGCCCTAAACCCTATAGGAGGCCCTGATGGGGCCCCCTCGAGGGCCCCCCAAGGGGCCCCTGGGGGCCCCCCTGAGGGTACCCGCAGGGGCCCCCGCTGCAGCCTCTACAGGGGCCCCCTGGGGGGCCCTCTGGGGGGCCCCCTGGGGGGCCCTCTGGGGGGCCCCCCGGGTTTGGTTTATTTCACTTTTTGGGTTTTTGTGGTTTTTATTTCTTTTCTTTTTATTTCTTTTCCTTTTTCTGCTGCTTCCCTTTCTTTGCTGCCAGGGGGCCTCCAGGGCTCCTGGGGGCCCCCCGGCGCTGCAGCAGCGAGGCTGGGGGGCCCCCAAGGGGGCCCCCTGGGGGCCCCCCAAGGGGGCCCCCTGGGGGCCTCTCTAGGAAGTACTAGACCCAGCAGCAGACATGTGGCATTTCAATGGCCTAGGCAGCTGCAGCAGCAGCAGAGGCTGCTGCTGCAGCCTAGGCTGCTGCAGCAGCAGCTGCAGCAGCAGCAGCAGCAGCAGCAGAGGCTGCTGCAGCAGCCTAGGCTGCTGCAGCAGCAGCAGAGGGGCCCCCCTGCTGCAGCTAGAGGCTGGGGGCCCCCGGGGTCCCCCAGCAGCAGCGCCTCGGCTCTTGCAGGAAATGGTTCAATATCTGTACCCTTTGAAGAGCCCCAGGGGGGCCCCCAGGGGGCCCCCGGGGGGCCCCCGGGGGGCCCCAGGGGGGCCCC